TGTGCCCAAACCTCAGCATCACATCCCCACCCTGCACCTCAGCATCACACTCCATGCCCAAAGCTCAGCACCACAACCCCCAGCCTGTACCTGAGCATTGCTTCTGACTCTCTGACAATCTCGGCAATGTCACTTTTGTGGATCTTCTGCTGCACCAGCAGCTCATGGGCCTTGGTCCACCTGTATTTGGTGTGGGAAGGGCAGCAGTGACAGAGCTGCCAGGCAGAGGCCCTCAGCAGCACAAACAACAATTAAACCTTTGGGATTCTGCCAAGGCCAGGGATGGTTCAAGCCCCATGTCCTGAAGTCCTCAGGGACAAGAGGTTGTCAGGACAAGGTCAAGATCACAGACAGCACTCACCACTCCACCATGAGGGGACGTTTCTCTTCCAGGGTCCGGTTGGGATCTATTTCTATGGGATAGTAATGGTGGAGCAGATCCTTCAGCTGCAGCGTCACACAGAGGGAAAAGGAACAAAGGGAACATCAGGTCTGAAGAGACTGAACAAAACTAGCATTTCTGCAGTTCTCCAAAGCATTGCTCTTCCTAAACACACCCAAAACCTTGTCAGTGAGCATACCTGGAACTCTCAGCAGCCTGGCTGGCCCTCACCTCACCTCACCTCACCTCACCTCACCTCACCTCACCTCACCTCACCCCAAATGCTGCAGGTACAAACAACCCTCCCCTTCTTCCTCTTATCAAACTGAAACACTCACAGCTGCACATGCAAATTCGAGTTCCCTTTTCAACTTCTCCTGTCACAGTTGGCTGAAATGCAGCCTGGACACTTTCTCATTCCATCCTGGCAGCCACCACAGGTGGGAGAGCAGCCACAGCAGCCAGTGTGACCTCCCAGTGACAGGTACAACAGCCACCAAGCCTCACACACAGCACCCACCTTCTTCTTGCCATCCTCACTGATAACACGGCTGGTATCAAGGATATCTGCAAAGAAAAAAAAATTATGCAGCACAGAATCATAAACTGAATTTCTACAGCACCCCCCTTGTGTCTCAGTGCTGGCTCTTCCCAGTACAAGCTGTGGTGACACTGTGACCTGAGCACAGGCTCACTGTGGGGTGCCAAGGCCACTCTGAGCCCCTGACCCCCACTCTGAGCCCCTGGCCGCCACTCTGAGCCCCTGGCAGCAGCCTCGGTGCCCGTGGGCAGTGGGTGAAGGCACCAGCCCTGGAGCTGGCTCCTGGCTCCTGCAGTGGGCAGCTGGCACCAGACCTGTATAGGGGAGGACAGGATGGAGTGGCCAGGCTTGGCACAGGGGACGACAGGAGCCACATCAAATACAAACATAGAAACCAAACAGAACCAGCAACAGTGAAAACAACGGCTTCCACTCACTGTGAGACGTGGGGCAGCGCCTGCCATTGCAACCAAACCTGCTCAGCGTCATGTCAAAGTCAGAAATGACCTGCAAGAGGGGAAAAAACCAAATCCCTGCGTAACCCACTGGCCAGAGCGAGCCCAAGGTGCTGGCACCCGTGAGAACTCAGCACCACCAACCTCCCGTGGCCACTCCTACCATCCAGAGGCAGACGCCGTCCTCACCCTCCCAAACCCCGCAGCTCTTATCGGCACCAAAGAGCAGAGCGGCTTCACCCCGCCTGGGCGGAGCAGGGGGCTGGGGACTGGTGCACAGTTTATGTTTCACAACCGAGAGCCAAAAGCTCCGTCCGGAGGGAGCCACCAGCCCCGAACTTCCTCCCTCCCTCTCCTCGGGGGCTTCTCCTCCTCCAGCCGCAGGCGCTGCCCCGTGGGGCCGGGAGAAGCCGGGCAG